AATTGGAGAGGGGATAAGGATTACATGCATGTGATGGAATATTAGTCACATCCTGAAGTTCTTTACTGACGTGGGAAGAAGGAACTGGAAAAATCTAGATGCAGAATAATATAAATAGATGCAGGAGGATCAGCACTGAACTGCTAACCACAAAATTGATGGTTCAAACCCAGCAGCCACTCCTCACAAACCTTATACACTATTGCTATGAGTCAGAACAAACACAGTATCATTGAAAGACAACTTCTGAAAAACTATTCTTAAATGCCTCAGTATAGTGGTCATAAGCGGCAAATTTAAAGGTTATTTTTATGTAATTGCTTATGAATTTTTGTCCTTCCAGTGTGTGTAATTTTACCTTTGCAATAGCAAAATGTTATATTTTAAAGCTACTCAAATTGATGTTAAATCATATTCATCCATCCATTCTTTCTCTCTCTTTTTTTTTTTTTCATAGTAGGATAATTATTACTTTTGTTCCTGGAATACTACCAGCAAGGAGAGATTCAAGTTGCATTTGGATCTGCAGTGTCTCATAACATGTGCAAAGTCTTCTGGAGGGGAGAAAGGTAAAAGGCAAATAATTATACTACAACGTGCAATCAATCCAAAAAATAAAACTGAGTTCCAGAAGAGGGAAGTAGGAAGACTTCATGGAGGAGGAGGAGGAAGTGACCTTTGACTTGGTGCTTGAAGGTGTAGGGTGAGGAGGAGTCTGCAAACCTGAAGGAAACAAGGGGAGTATCTTGGAAAAGGACATAGCAAATCTTTAATTCCCTGATTTCAAAGACATAATTCCAGCTAGATCCACCCTCAAAGTCAGGAAGCCAAGCCTGATGGTCATGAAGGTGTCCACAATTCTGTATTTGTTCACTTCTTGGTGCTCTGGGACACATGCCCACGAGGGCCTTTAATTCTCATATGAAATAATATTATCCTCCTGAGTCCTCAGATTTCATCCTCTCATTTTATCTAAATTTCAAAACTAATTCATAAGAGTGTTTGCGACCCAACACTTATGCTTGACCATCACAGAAGCCCCATAAAGGAGCATTAGGTAGACCAGTGATTCTCAGTCCTGACTGCCCATCAGAATGACCCTCAGGTCCTTAAGCTTTCAGTGTCTAACACACTAACTATAAATTCTGAAATTACTTTGACATGTGTCTTCCAAACAGACACCCTAAAAAAGAAAAGTCAGGTGTAGAATAATTTGCAAGATATTAATCAAAATGGAGTCTCACTACATGCCACAGAGGGAAGGATTCCAAGTGAAACCCAGTCTACTATGTTGCTGTTGTTGTTAACTGCTCTAAGTCTTTTCTTGTATAGGGCTTCTGAAGGACAACTGGTGAGTTCGAACCACCAACCATCCAATTCAAACCCACATTGCTGCAGTCTAGTGCTTACCCTACAGCGGCACACCAGGACTCCTATTAAATAAGCAAAAATATCCTACACCAGCCGTTTCTCAGAAACTCTTTATAGGGTGGCTATGAATCGGAACCAATTCTACTGCAGTTAACAACAAATGTGCTCCTAGCAATATGCTTGTTTGAGCTGACTTTAACAAAGTAACAGCTACCTTATACTTCTGGTGTGGCACTGTAGGATCCGCACTGGCCTGCAATCACAAAGTCAACAGTTCAAAGTCACCAGTTGTTCATCAGAATCCCTAACAAAGTTGTTATTAGTCAAAACAAGCTCAACAACACTTAACAACAACCTTATACTCAAATGGTGAAAATAACTTTTCTTGGGAATGGGATTCAACTTCAATGCTTCCATCAGATAGAAAGCCTTCTCCTACAAATCACTTTTCCTACAGCCCCTTTCATATCCCTGTTCCTGAGGGTGTAGATGAAAGGGTTCAGCATGGGGATCCCAAGTATACACATCATAGTAGATACTGTGTCTGTCTCCGCTGAGTGGGAAGATGAAGGGTTGAAATACACAGCAATGACGGTGCCATAGAAGAGGGAAACCACAGCCAGGTGTGAGCCACAGGTGGAGAAGGCTTTCCATTTTCCCCTTGTGGATGGGACTCTCAGGACAGTCCAGGTGATGCAAATGTAGGAACCCAGGAAGCAAAAAAAAAAAAAAATGGGGTGATCATGATGAAGAACCCTTCAGTAAAAATCATCACCTCACTGAGGTGTGTGTGTCAGAGCAGGAGAGTTTCAGGAGAGCAGATATTTCACAGAAGAAGAGGGGGATCCTGCTGCCTGCATAGAATGAGAGTTGAGCCATCAGCAGAGTATGTATATGTGCATTCAGAATGGAAGTGACCCAAGGCCCAATGACTAACACGGCACAGAGCTGATGGGTCATCTTTGTTGTGTAGTGTAAGGAGTGACATACAGCAACAAAGCAGTCATAGGCCATCACAGTCAGGAGGAAATTAATTGTCCATGTCGTCAAGGACAATGAGAAAATACAGATGTGTGAGACTCCCAAGTATGTGATTACTCAGGATCATGGGGACAGTGGTGGAGGAGAAGCAGACATCCATGAAGGACAGGTTGATGAGGAAGAAGTACATGGGGGTGTGCAGATGGGAGTCTGTGCTGATGGCCAGGATGATGAGCAGGTTTCCCAGGACTGTGACCAGGTACATGCTCAGGAAGAGCCCGAAGAGGAGCTGCTGCTGCTGCTGGGGCTGCCTGGAGAGCCACAGGAGGAGGAACTCAGAGACACTTGACTGGTTTGTCCCACTCATGGGTCCAGTTACAGATGCAGAGAAGAGAAACACAGAGCAGAAGCCTAAGCACTGAGGGATTAAACAGTACTAGTCAGGTCCAGAGCTTTAGTCTTATTTTCTGTATCTGAGTGGCTCAGTTAGAATCTCCCTCAGATCCCACATTCCTTCTGGCACCCCATCAAACATGATGTTGATCCCACTTGACTCATCTTTTTGATGTTTATAAAATACAACAGAAAGCACACACAGATATACTCACTGATCTCTATGGTTGTGTATGTTCCTTTAACACTTCCTAGTTATTTCTTCATGACTCAGCAGCTCATAAAATGACAAGGGAAAACAGCTGATTAATACTGGGCTCTTTTCAACATCGAGTTTATGGATTCAGGACTCTTGATTTTGCTTCCTAGAATTGCAAGATTTAATAGTAGAAGTTCCTAAGAGAACTTCATGTCTTAAGAAAATTTCAGAAAGTCTACTTTGTTGTAATCTTATCTGGGAGAGGTGGTTTCTGTAGCTATCGTGCATTCTTCACTTCTGTACGACTGTCCAGTGTTTCTCTCTATGGTGTGGATTGGAAAGTCTTGGAAGGATGGGAAATATCTGAGTCAATGAGAAGTAGACATCATGGTCTGAGCTCTCTGTGCAGAAAAGCAGTTTTGGGGTATCACAGAGCAGGCATTTAAAGAGTCTCCATGACCACTGTTAATGTTCAACCATTTCAAGAGGTAGCATATGATCAAGAGCCAATGATACTGAAGGAGGAAGTCCAAGATGCATTGAAGGAATTGGCAAAGAACAAAGCACCAGGAATTGATGGAATAAAAATTGAAATCTTTCAAGAAAGTGAGGCGGCATAGGAGGCACTCACTCATCTCTGCCAAGAAATTTGGAAGACAACTGTCTGGCCGACTGATTGGAAGAGATCCATATTTGTGCTTATTCCAAAGAAAAGTGACCCAAAGGAATGCGGAAATCATCAGACAATATCATTGTCACATGCAAGTAAAATTTTTCTAAAGATGATTTAAAACGGCTGCAACAGTTGCTTGACAAGGAGCTGCCAGATCAGATCAGATTCAGATAAGGACATGGAACAAGGAATATCATTGTTGATATCAGCTGGATCTTGGCTGAAAGCAGAGAATACCAGAAAAATGTTTACCTGTGCTTTATTAACTGCACAAAGGCTTTTGACTGTGTAGATCATGGCAAGCCATGGACAACATTGTGGAGAATGAGTATTCTGGAACCCTAATTGACTTACGAGGAACCTGTAACAGACTAAAAGGCAGTTATTTGAACAGAACAAGGGGTCACTGAATGGTTTAAAATCAGGAAAGATGTGAACCAGGGTTGTATTCTTTCATTATGCTTATCCAATCTGTATTCTGAGCAAATAGTCTGAGAAGTTGGGTTACATGAAGAAAAATGTGCCATCAGGATTGGAGGAGAACTCATTAACAACCTGTGATAATGCAGATAATACAACCTTGCTTGCTGATAATGAAGAGGACTTAAAATACTTACTGATAAAGATCAAAGACCACAGCCTTCAACATTTCTTCAACCTCGCCAGTGGACCAATAAACAACATCCATATAAATAGCCAAAAGATTGAAGCTGTCAAAAACTTCATTTTTCTTGCATCAACTATCAACACTCATGGAAGCAGCAGTCAAGAAATCAAACAACCTATTGCATTAGGTAAAACTGCTGCACAAGACTTCCTTAAAGTGTTGGAAAGCAAAGACATCAGTTTGAGGACTAAGGTGAGCCTCATCCAAACCATGTTATTTTCAATAACCTCATAAACATGTGAAAGTTGGACAGTGAATAAGGAACACCATAGAAGAATTGTTGCCTTTAAGTTATGGTGTTGGAGGAGAATATTAAAAGTACCATGGACTGCCAAAAGAATAAATAAATCTATGTGGTAAGAAGTGCAAGGAAGAGTGCTCCTTGGAAGCCAGGATGGCAGGACTTCATCTCTCATGCTTCAGACATATTATTGGGAGGGACCAATCCCTGGAGAAGGACATCATGTTTGGTAAAGTGGAAGGTCAGCAAAAAAAAAAAAAAAGGCAGACCCCCCCCCCAACAAAATGAATTGGCACAGTGGTATCAGCAATGGGCTCAAGCATAGCAGTGATTGTGGATTGGCACAGGACTGGGCAGTGTTTCCTTCGGTTGTGCGTAAGGTCACTACAAGTCCATACTGACTTAACAGTACCCAAAAACAGGTTAGAAAATATTAATGCACCTACTAATAGATTGATAGTCCATGATTCCTTCATCATATAGAACCTGTCTTCCTGCCAATCATTTTTCTTAGAGCCTCTTTCATATCCTTGTTCCTCAGGCTGTAGATGAAAGGGTTCAGCATGGGAATCACCACAGTGTACATCACAGTAGCTACTGTGTCTTTCTCAGCTGAGTGGGAGGATGAAGGGTTGAAATACACAGCAATGATGGTGCCATAGAAGAGGGAAACCACAGCCAGGTGGGAGCCACAGGTGGAGAATGCTTTCCATTTTCCTTTTGTGGATGGGACTCTCAAGACAGCACAAGTGATGCAAATGTAGGAAACCAGGATGCAAACCAATGGGGTGATCATTATCAGTGCCCCTTCAGTAAGAATCATCATTTCATTGAGGTGTGTATCAGAGCAGGAGAGTTTCAAGAGAGGACTCACATCACAGAAAAAGTGGGGAATAATGTTGTCTGCACAGAATGAAAGTCTAGCTATCAGCAGGGTATGCAACAGAGCATTCATATTAGCAGTGACCCACGGTCCAGCGACCAGCAGAGCACAGAGCTGATGGGTCATTTTTGTTGTGTAGTGTAAGGGATGGCATACAGCAACAAAGCGATCATAGGCCATCACTGACAAGAGTAAGTTATCTATATGGGCAAACATAATGAAAAAATATAACTGTGTGAGACACCCAGGGAGGGAGATGGATTGATTCTTGAGTATGTGGTTGGCCAGCATTTTAGGAACAGTGGTAGAGGAGAAGCAGACATCCCCAAAGGACAGGTTGCTAAGAAAGAAGTACATGGGGTTGTGCAGGCGGGAGTCTGTGCTGATGGCCAGGATGATGAGCAGGTTTCCCAGGACTGTGACCAGGTACATGCTCAGGAAGAGCCCGAAGAGGAGCTGCTGCTGCTGCTGGGGCTGCCTGGAGAGCCACAGGAGGAGGAACTCGGAGATACTCGACTGGTTTGTCCCACTCATGGGTCTAGTTACAGATGCAGAGAAGAGAGACATAGAGCAGAAACCTAAGAACTAAGGGTTCAGATGGGACAAGTCAGGCTGCAGCCATGGTCTTATTTACTTTATCAAATTTCCTCACTTAGATTCTTTCCCAGTCCCTACCCCACCTTCTGGCTTCATTACTTAGATGATGTTGGTCCCACTTGATTTTACAAAATGTAACACCAAGCACTCACACAGATACACTCAGCTCATCTCTGTGATTGTGTTTGTCCCTTTTAACATTTCCTAGTTTCTTATTCATGCCTTGTTGTTGTTGTTAAGTGCTGTAGAGTTGATTCCGACCCAAAGCAAACCCGTATAGGGTTTCCAAGGAGCAGCTGGTGAGCTTGAGCCACTGATCTTGTAGTTCAAATGACTTTGCAGTCTGGTACATTACCCCACAGCACCACACCAGGACTCCTCTTCATGCCTTAGTAACTCGTAAAAAGGCAACAAAAATAGTGGGTTTATCCCAAGATTCAGCTAATGGATCCAGGACTCCTGTTCTTGGCTCCTTTAATGGTAGAACTTCATGCCTTAATAATCAAATATTTTAAAAGTATCCTCTGCTGTATTCTTACCTGGTGGAGGTAGTTTTGTAGCTATCATGTGTTCTTTACCTTATGTGTTCTTATCTCTATGGTGGGGATTGGAAATTCTTGAAAACATGGGCAGGTTCTAAGCAAATGAGAAGTAGTGTTCATGGTCTTAGTTCTCTGGGCAGGAAAGATGTTTGGTGGAGTCACAGAGCAGGCATTTAGAGATCAGGCATTTATGGGAGTCTCCATGACCACTGGGGCTAGATTCCCTGAGAGCCTCGTTAGAGACAAGGACAGAGTAATTGTCCCACCTACCTTTGGCCCCTTTAGACCACACATTGATGGCAAAGAGTATTATGTAATGCCTAAGCCAGAACTTGTAGATGAAATTATCTTGGTAGAGACAAGTTCCAAAGAGAATCCCCTAGAATCTCAAATCTCATCACTTTGCTGATTTGTGCTTTATGTTTACTGATTTGGAAATCCCATTTATGAATAATTTTCTTCTTACTATCTTAGTCAGAAATTTGCATTATTGCTGTGTTGTTTGTATAAACCTATTTTGTTTTTGTTTTCCTTCAGGTCTAATCATCTCCATAGGTTTATTGATTGGTTTCCAGTTGGGATGATATGGGCACATTATAAACCTAATTCTTAATCCTTCAAAGCATATATTTTGTTGTTAAGTGCTGTCAAATAAATTTCGGCTCATAATGACCTAGTACAAGGTTTACAAGGAGCAGCTCGTGGGTTTGAACTGCCTACCTTATGGCTTGCAGCCCAGTGTTTGTCCTACAGTTCCGCACTGTTGTTGTTGTTGTTAAGTGCCATCGAGTCGGGTCCGACCCATAGCGACCCTGTACAGGGTTTCCGAGGGTGTAAATCTTTACGGGAGTAGAAAGCCTCACTAGGAAGGATAAACTCTTTGTAATGGGGGTTAGGTAGAAAATGGGGAGACATAAAAAGAGCATAGCTTGTCATGATTGAGGAACTCCAGGGTCTATACAGTCCACCACTGGCCAGTCAGAATCCCATACTGTGCTAGCATATGTTTTGCTATGATGCTGGAAGCTAGGCCTCTCATATTTTAAAAGCCAGCAGGGCAGCCCCATAGTTGACTGGTTTCATCAGAACTTTCAGACTAGGAATAAGAAAAAGTGGACCACTTCTGAGTAGTTCGTCATTGAAAATCTTATGAACAGAATCAGAGCACTGATATAGTGCCAGAGATGAGCCCTATAGTTTGGAAATCACTCAAAATGCTAATGGGGAAGAGAAGCCTCCTCACAGTTGAGTTGGCCTCAATGAAATGTATGAAATAAGCCTTAGGGATCTTCATTTGCAGATGGGGCACAATTCAACATGACAAGAAACAGCTGCCTAGAGTGTTGCTGTAGGATAAGCACTGGACTGCTAACCACAAGGTTGGTGGTTCAAATCCACAAGCTGCCCCTCAGAAATCTTATAATGGAACCCACTCAACAGCACTTAACAACAATGACTTATTCATCGCAAATATCTTTTTTCAGTAACATAAATGGCAGCTATATATGACCATCTCACCAGATGGAAAACACCAGTAATAAATTAATTCTATCTGTGGGAAGAAACAATGAAAAAAATCTCAATATCATCAGCCAAAACAAGGTCTGGGTTCAACTGTAGAACAGACTACCAATTGCTCATATGTAAGTTCAAGCTGAAACAGAAGAAAATTAAAACAAGTACATAAACCAAAATAGGACCTTGAGTGTTTCCCACCTGAATTTAAAGATCATCTCAAGAACACATTTGATTCATTAAACATTCATGACCAAAGACCAGAGAGTTGTAGGATGACATGAAGAATATCATCTGTGAAGAAAGCAAAAGGTCATTTAAAAGACAGGAAAAAAAGAAAAAACAAAACAAAACGGATGTCAGAAGAGGCTATGAAATCTGTTTTTGAATGTCGACAAGTTAATGCAAATGGAAGAAATGATGAAGTTGAAGAGTTGAACCAGAAATATTAAAGGGCAGCTCAAGAATGCAAAGTAAAAGATTATAATGAAATGTGGAAAGACCTGGAGTTAAAATATCAAAAGGAAAGAGTATGTTCAGCGTTTCTCAAGTTGAAATAGCTGAATAAAACATTCAAGCCACAGCTTGCAATATTGGAGGATTCTGTGGGATCCCTGGTGTGGCACTGCAGGATAATGCTCTGGACTGCAAGGATGGCCGTTCAAATTCACCAGCCACTTCTCAGAAACCCTATACAGGGTCGCTATGAGTCGGAACTGACTTGAAAGCTCTTAACAAAAACAATGAGCAAAATGGAGTCCTGGTATGGCACTGTGGGATAAGCACTGGACCACAGAGTCAGTTTGAACCACAAGGTCAGCAAGTGAAACTCACCAGACACTCCTCAGAAACTCTATACAGAGACATTATGAGTCAAACTGACTCAACGGCACTTAACAACAGAAAAATGGACAAAACAGAATCCTTTCAACATGTGATCAGGAAGAACCAATCCCTGGAAAAGGACATCAAGCTTTGTTAAGTGGATGGTCAGCAGAAGAGAGGGAGACTCTTCACCAGATGGATTGACACAGAGTCTGCAACAATAGGCTCAAATATAACAATTATGAGGATGGCGCAGAACCAGGCCAAATTGCATTCTGCTGTGCATTGGTTGTTATGTCAGAACCAACCTGATGGCACCTTACATCAATAACAACAGGAGCAAAATATTGTATGCCACGGAAATCATCAAAAGAAGATATAAACAAAGTCATGGTACCATGAAGAATTAGTTGATGTTCAACCATTCAAGATATACCATATGATCAAGAACCAATGGTATTGAAAAAACAAGTCCAGACTTCCCAAAAGGAGTTGGTGAAAACCAAAGTTCCAAGGAATAAATTGATGGAATGCAAATTGAAATGTTTCAACAAACTGATGTAGTGTTGGAGGAGCTCACCCTTCTATGCCAAAAAATTTGGAAGACAGCTACCTTATCAACTGATTGGAAGAGGTCCAATTTGTGCCCATTCCAATGAGAGGTGATCCAACAGAATACAGAATCACATAACAATGTTATTAATATCACATGCAAGTAAAATTTTATTAAGGGTCATTTTAAATTTGTTGCAGCAGTACATCAACAGGGAGCTGCCAGAAATTCAAGTTGGAATCAGCTTTATTAACTATGCAAAGATATTCAACTGTGTGGATCATAAAAACTAACAATAACATTGTCAAGAATGAGTACATAGCACCGCACAACATGGATGAACCTTGAGGACATTATGTTGAGTGAAATTAGTCAGTCACAAAAGGAAAAATACTGCATAGGACCACTACTGTAAATGACTAAGAAAAAGAACCCATACTAAAGGGAGGGTGGATTCTTTGCTGGTTGCTAGGATGTGGGGGAGGGATGAGGGGAGGGAGGGAAAGGTGGAGCAAAGGGCAGGGAATAAACACAGGATAGTTAGGGTATTGGGGAGGGGGGCAATACACAAAAAGGGAGAGGGGAATGGAAGAACAAAGCAGATGGGAGAACAATTAGGCAGGTTTGCATGGGTTAAGTGGGACAGAGGTAAATGATGATGTATGCACAACCTTGGAACAACAGGGCTCTGGGATACAGGGATTGAGACATGGTTGGAATGGGTAAAAGAGGGTAAATAATGTTAAGATGCTTGGCTGTCTTTTGAATCTTGGTTTTCCTTGCATTATATTATAAAACAGACACTTGAGGGGGAGAGAAAGGAATAGCCAGAAATATCACCATAGAAAGCTTGTAAGTCCGTCTTCTGCCTACAACTGATTAGAATACCTAAAATAGGGTTACAACGTGCCCAGTGAAGGAGGCTTCCTACGGATCCTCTGCAATACATAAGACTATAGGTGGAATCCTGAACTGTTGCAGACCGTGTAAGACTAGTCAGAGGTTCGAGGCCCTCTAGGGCCGAGTGTAACAAATGAGGCCACTGGCAGTTAATGGCAAATTAATATTCAGGTATATATATTAAATTAATACACTGGAGCCTTTGACAATCCACAGATAAATGTGGTATTTTCCTAAAGCCGAGA